GAAGGATTTGCGTGTCACAACCCTTATAACTGAATTAACGCAGGGGCAGAGACTAGGACTCAAACAAGGATATCACAACAAGAGAGGATAGGATAGCAGGTACATCTTAGGATTGCTAGCAATGAGCTAATACAAAAGAGGTTTGAACTAAAGAACTACTGACTACAATGAGCTACCTATATACATATATTGAAACGGAGACTGAATCTGAATCTGAACTAACTAGCCAATCATTAAATAGAAAAGGAATCGTACGATGATCTAAATATAACTACACTTATGATGTCATGAAACGTGTTACTGTTGTGCAAGGGTTCTGGAAGGTTCTATCGTCACGTGACTTGATCGCTTGAGTAAGAAAGTCGAAATCGGGAATGTCGGAGATAAGGGTAGTGGGTGCTAACGGAATAGAGAAGTTCGGATATGTAAAGGATGAGTTCGGGTTAGGGTTTGTAAAGGTTATGGGTACAGACGCTGACTGAGCGCTAACAACAGGCGCTTGTGATGGGCGCTTAATGGGTGTCTTACGAATGTCTTTGGAGGTTTCACGAGTGTTCAAGAAAGAATAATGATTTGTATTTGGAATTCGTGACATTGCGGCAGTTTTATCACAGCGGGTGAAGGTACAAACACCAACAGGGAAATGGGTTGAATGTATACACCCAATAGGTTTTGCGTCAAAACGGACATCACAGACGGAAAGGAAGTACAAATCTTATCTATTGGAGTTTTGCAGCGCTAAAATTCGGATTAGATAAATTTTCAGGGATCATTTGGGGCTTCCCGGTTGAAGTTGAAATGGATTGTAATGCACTAAATGACACCCTGCTGAACCCAACATTAAATGTGGCACATGCACGTTGGAGAGAAGGTATATTGGCATACAATATAGTGGACGTGAGACATGTTCCAGGGAAGTTGAATGTGGTTGTGGACGGACTTAGTCGTAAATGGGAAGGAATACCACCCACTACAGGAGATGGTAGTGAGTGGACGGTAAGTGAGGATTGGGAAGCCCGAACGGGACTGGCAAATGATGTGCTGTTTATGACGTCAATAGACCCGGTGATAGAAAATCTTAGAACAAGATTTACTAATGAGCCAGTGTTTCTAGAGGTCATTGACGCCACTTGTAACTTGGATCAAGATAGAGATGTATGGGAGAAACGACGAGCCAGACACCGAGCAATGCAGTATATCATTGAAGATGAGAAACTGTGGCGCTTGAAGGGCGGAACAGAAACTAGGGCAAGAGCCAAGGTAGAGTGTATATCAAAGGAAGAAGCAAAAATTATGGTGGAAAAAAGAACATACAGGAAGGAGGCCATTGGGGAAGGGACGCGATGAAGATGGCATTGCTAGATCGGATTTGTAGCCCAAAGCTGGACGCATCAATTATGGAGGTCATACGAAATTGTGCTAAGTGTAAAAGTTTTGGATCAACGCATTTACACTCACTACTAGAACCAATAACCAGGAGACACCCATTCGAGTTACTCATGGGCGATTATCTAGCACTTCCTAAAGGGAAGGGCGGATATAGCACATTAGGAGTATACCTCGACGTAGTTTCACAACACACCTGGGTATTCAAGTATAAGACGGCAGGCAGTGCAAAGACGGATGATGAATAGTCTCAACGGAATCTTCAACGCATTTACACCATCAGAAAACTTTATGACGGACGGTGGGAGACACTTTAACAATGACGCAGTACGAGTGTTATGCGAGGCGCAACAATGCAAACTGCATATAGTGGCAGCTTACTCCCCATGGGTAAATGGCCTGGTTGAAGGAACTAATAAGTTATTGCTACATGTTTTAAAAGGCTATGCGCACCGAACATGGGAGAAGATGATGAACAACAAGGAGCATCTTGGGATAAGCTTCCAACAAAATGGCCAGATTACCTTGATGATGCAGTTCACGCTTTAAATCACCGTTTATTACCTTCACTGAAATTTCTCCTAAGGAATTGCTTCTGGGCCTCGTGGCGAATATGCCAAGAACAGGGATTGAGGATAGTGCTTCGACACTTAGACAATCGGACGTGTTGACACAGATGGCGTACGTGGAACAACAGCGCCTGGATGGCTATGAGGAGATGGTACAACATGCCATCAAGCGAAAAGCGGTGTTCGACAAGAGAATTTTGCAGAGAATGCCCGGTGAGGTTATTTTTAAAATTGGTCAATTGGTTCAAGTATACCGCAACGATTTAGATTATACCTTCAAAACGGAATGGAAGTTAATACTGAAATGGTCGGTTCCACGCCGAATTCAGTCAAGAAATCTTAATTCGTATAAATTGGAGACTGCTGGAAGGAAGACCAGTACAAGGAGAATTCAGTGCGAGACGTTTGAGAGCGTTCATTCCCAGGACCGGTACTCAATTGGCGAAGAAGCAGGAGATGTATGAAGCAGAGAAAAGAAAGAAGGACAAATTAGAGAATGAAAAAGAGGAAGAAGATAACGGTGAAGAGTATGAAGACGAAGACGAAATGGAAGATGAAGATGAGAGAGAGTAGAGAGTGGAGAATAGAAGGGAGTGGCGTCGAGGGCGGCGCCGGTTCTTTTTAGGGGGGTGCATGGACTAGGGGTCTCATGGGTAGCAGAGACGAGGAGAAGAGTCCCACGGCTGTTTCCGAGGCTTAATCAGAGCAGGTCGATGGTTTCGCTTAGAGCATAGCATAGCATCACCCATCAGAGCAGCAGCACACCATAGAGCCACATTGTCCCATCACAACACGATGCTTGGCCAGTATTGAGCACCATTTGATCAAAATACAACAATTTTCAATGATAAGTCGAGACTGTTCCAAGGCCGTAGTAACCAAATCATTGGCACAATGTCTGCCAGCTCCAGGTCATTCTTTTCTTGACTATTTTCCATGGATCGGCGACTGAGTGGATTCGAATTATCCTCGTATCTCACACGCTGCATCACCTGCAGGTTCTCGTGGGCTTCGGGCCCAACACTGCAACGGTTTCGACTAAAACATCGAGCTATTCGTGGTCGACTCTATCCTGCACAAATGCATTAGACAATCAGTCTGTCACATCCCATAGTCGCATCTCATTGTCAACACTACCAGTGGTTCCGCTGAGTTTCGTAGTCGATGTGAATGTACCTGTCGATCAGATCTATGATAGTAACAGCCGGAACGATGAATACACTTGCTGGTAGTACCCTTGATTCAGTATTAAGCACTTTGAAGTTCAATTCATGGGTTCAGTGTTCGAACCACTGAATATTTTTTTCTATCAGCTCTTTCCACAGCGTATGATATCTCCTCGCTTACCGGTAGCTCCGTGAAGACAGATAGCCCTGTATATGTCTGTCGGATAAAAAACCACGCGTTGGCGATATGGCAACTATATATATCGTTAATTGGTCACGGTGCTATGAGGGATGATTGTTTAATTAAATTGTTTAGTGGACGAGCGAGGTCGTCGCTATTAAATGTTTCCAAGCCTGTACATACCCATGACCTCCTAGGATGACGACTATCCCTGACGGTCATCATCAATCATTCTTCAATTTCACGCTCTCCCTTTCAATTCAATTATCGCCATGGCGGAATGGGAAGCACAGATCGTCATTGTCTGTACTACCAATTCTGTCAATTCGACATGACTATAACTACCCAACAAAAAAAGTTGATATTCTACTCAGTGTTTCACGATATATGAATATGGAGGACGCTTTATGCTTACTCTCCGCTGGGAAGATGACGAGATAAGCGATTCCAGCGCCTTCACCGATTGTTATTTCGGACTTGAAGGATAGACATAGACGACAAAGACTGGGTACAGGCGCTGGAGCTTGCGAGTTGAACGCAATTTCTGCTAACTAATGCGTAGACAACGCTCGATGGTGGATCGACCGACAAACGTACGAAAATCCCAAGTAAGACGTCTTTCGATGAGATTTCTGCGTTGCAGATGCTGAATCGCTGGAGGTTATCGCTTTGAGCTATCCGCTGGCTAAATTTTATACGTTGAGGTTTGCGTCGAAACGGTCGAGTTGGGAGTCTGTGGACAAACGTGTGAGCAGTGCCAACAGACACAGGAAGAGGAGGCGGTGTTAAAGAGTTGCACGCCAAGCACAGCCGGACCGACGTCCTAGCCGGAGATGATCAAGATCATATGTCATATGTTCACATCTTGTTAATTCACATGACAGCGCACAACTCGCGGAAATGGACGCGGACGCACCTCGAAATGCTTCATCTGATACACGTGTTGAGTGATATACCAATTCTGTGGAGAAATGCACGATCTTCCCATACTACGGCACGCTTATACCACACTCGAGTTGGAAACCGGATATCGGTAGGAACTGAGATCCAGAAGACAGGAAGTGTGACTTCCGAAGTTGTTATCTGTTGATGGTATGCTACCCAGGAATGTCGGATCTATATCTTCCTTGACGATGGCATTGTCCAACCCGCTGCCCAGGCTTCTCAGCGGCAGTGTCGATTGGCGAAAAACACGCGTTGGATGTTCCGTAACCTAACCCCGGTGAGTCTGTCTGATACATTGATGAGTATCCCCGTAACATCAGACAAACTTAATCAATGCGCCAGGTGAGTACAAGGATGAAATCAAACTTGACCACTGAGTTGTCTGCGCTGCGTTGAACGTTTGAATTCCGTCGAGGCCGTCGCATCGACAGATATGATGAGGCTGCGCACAAGCGCTTAGACTTGTCGTGCCGATGTTTGATCGGGTTATCGACCGTGACATACATCGGGCCGTGGTCGCCAGTGGCCGCTGCTGGTGCTGTGGGCGCCCGGCGAAGAGGCCATGTCAATGAGTTGATACTCTTTGGTTCCCATCGAGTATGGGAATCGCAGGATAACAACTAAGGACATGGTCAGACGACAGCGTCAAGCTTGAATTTGACTTGTGGGCGATGGTTGACATATAAAATTGCTTATGTAATGAAGTGATGAATCCTTACAATGGACTTAAAAAGTTGTCATAAGTAGTACTGCCATGTATCAACCCTTGGCACAGCAAGCACGCCTCCTCTTGACCCCGTCTTAGTCTGATCCTGTATGTGAATCCTTTATCAAGACAGACCCAGACTTACCAAGCGCCACATCTAGTCCCATGAGCCAACCACCAAGCACACCCCGAGCAGGTCCCAGTGATACCAGTGGCGACAAATCAAACACCCCACCACTCCCGGTACCACCCCTCGCACGTACCCAATCACACCATTCTACCGCCTCAAAGACCTCGAAGCCCATCTCTCGCACCAGCTCCCAACCCCCTTCAAACCGTGAAGTTATACTGCTCCTCGCAGATGCAGAGTCTGCCGTGCGCGACCTCCGCGCAGATGTCTCTCTTTTGAATTCACAATTATCATTCGAACAAGACCGTGCTGATAATGCAGAGCTTAAAGCAAAGGAAGCATGCCTACGATTCAAAGAGGCCAATGATGCGCGCGTAGTCTCTCACAGCGAGATCGTACGTCTGACAGAGGAACTCAGGTTATACAAAGACGCACTCGAACAAGCCCAGAAGGAGATTTTCCGCGCGCAGGGCGTGATGAAGGATGTCGAAGACAGGAGGAGGGATGCAGAGGAGAGCGCTGCAAAGTCAAGGTCTAGATTGCGCAAATTGATGGAGGAGAAGATGATCGAAGTCGCTCGTGAGGAGGGCCGTAAACAGGGCCTCCAGGAAGGACTGGAGATGGGGAAGGATATGGGGTACGTACATGGGCGCACCAAGGGTTATGCACAAGGTCGAGTTACAGCAGATCGTGTCCTCGAACGCTACTTTTCTGCCCCGAGTGATGACGAAGGTAGCGATTCGAGAGGTGGCTCTGGTGAGGCACAAAACACCCCGCGATTCAGACAAGAACCAGTATCGCACACTTCCAGTGAACAATCACGTCCTCGCACGCCTACACGCCCCCGTGCACAACCTCAACCTCAACCGCAACCGCAACCTCAATCGCAACCACGGCCACGGCCACAGCGACGTCCAACCCAGACCTCATCTGCACGTAGTACCATGTTCTCCCCTGCCAACGCGCTGCACGACGTTCCCACAGACGGTTGGATCCCAGAAGCTGATTCTTCTCTCATCATCCGCTTGCCACCTCCACACGAGTTGGACCGCTCGCGTCGTACGCCTTCCCCCATTTATTCGAGTCCTGACACACCATTGCGCTCCCTGCCTCAAGATCCTGTGCTTATGGTACCAGAACCTCGAACTCCTGGTGCGCCGTTACATTCGATCCCTGCTTCGGACTCTCGTAACCAACGAACGGTACGTCGGAGAGCTTCGGGCACGGAAAGCGTGACCTCTACGAGAACGTCCGAACTAGATCTGCTTAGTCCTCCGGAGCATCCTCGATCCAGCGGGCTGAGCGTCATTCCCGAGGTTACGAGCGTACGTGAGCAGAGTACGCCTAGTAGCCGGAACATGAGAGCGACTGTAGAAGAAGAAGACGAGGTGCGTCTTGCTCGATAGAACTGTTTTGGCGTGCGCGCTTATCAAGTTGCAGGCTGGCTTCGTACATGTTGCTATGCCGGCACCGCGTTCGTCTAGAGAACAAATTCGGCAGCAGAAAGCACCCTCTGCTACATCAGCAGCTAGATCGCCAGCACAAGAATCAACACGTCCGATTAGTTCATCGTCATCTGGTACCGTCAACATCACGATCCAACCGCCCGTGAGTAAGCTCTCTTCTCAGTTTATTGAGCACTGTCAAACGGGCCACAACTCTAGTCACGTCCCGCGTCTAACATGTCGCAAGTGACACCGTCTGGGCAGCGCCCGTACTTCCTCAGTCCTGCAGACGCCGACCGCCCATTGCCACCGCCACCTTCGTCGTATTCCCCATCGCCAGCACACGTCACACCGTCGATGGTGCCTATACCGCCTACAGGTAGCACGATGTATTCAAGCTTACCTTCAGGCCTCCCACCTGGGTTCGTACCCACCGGCCCACCTACTGCCCGTTCATACACACCAAGCAGCAGCCTACCAGCACTCGCCACCTCCTCCCAACACAGTCGCCACCAATACCGTGATACCGCCCAACCATATGCCAGCGACACGATCATAATCCCCTCCAGCCCCAAAACCATGCTCGACGACCCGAACGAACCCGTAGTGATCCCCCCGCCTTCACAGAAATTTGGGCCTGAATCGGATGAGGACTCTAGTGATACTAGTAGCGATGCGGGGTTGCGGACGCCGGGGAGGAAGTATAGGGCTGCCGGGAGTGCGGCGAGTTTGTATACTGCTACTGCTCCTGGGAGTGGGGCGAGGTATAACGCGGGGGCGGCTTTGAGTGCGGGTGGGACGCCGAGGGCAGGGTTGTATGGGAAGAGTGGGAGCGCAGGCGGTGGTGGGGAGGGGTATGTGAGGAGTGGAGGAGGGGAGGGGTATGTGAGTAGGGGAGGAGAGGGGTACGTGAGTAGGGGAGGGGAGGGGTACGTGAGTATGAGTGCTGGGAGTGGGTATGGGAGGATGGGGTATGTTGGTGAGCAGGGGAGTGTGAGGGGGTGATCTTCATGATTTGTCACGATGCGAGTTTAAATTTACGATAAAGGTGCTGGCACCTTCTTATGGATTAGTACGACATTCGTTATGGATACTGCATTATTTACATGCTAGGCTTCGCTTTAGGGAATACAAGGTTAAACGGTTATTAAATCGTCACGATAAGATTCTGATATATACTGAGTTATCTGATAATTCAATCGATATCATGGTACCATCTTATGGCCCTCTTCTTAAATCACTTGCTGAGGGTGCTACGGGCACTTGAACTATACATGTGGTGGTTCACACACCAAGGGGGAGGATGTTCATCTAATACCAAATGGTGCATGGCAGCGACGGAGCCCCATATGTCCACCAGATCAACAGTAATACTGGTTGTGCCTGATCATGATGAGGCGGGTTGTTTATGTCTGTTTGCGGTGTCGGTCTAAAACACCGCTGCACTATGAAGCTGGTTATTCTGACACTGTCATCCTCATTCAATCCCGGAGCTTCATTTCCCCCGTCTTCCGATGGGGCGGTCTCTATTTCCAGATAAACTTATCGCAAATTTTTTGCGCAATGTTTTGAATCTGGAGAATCGAGATCAAGAGCGTCTGCAACGTGCTTCATGCTCGTTCAACTAGTGGAATTCGGCGAGCACAGCTAATCAAGAAGGAACGACTGTCTTCCTTGTATATGGTCTGACTAGGGGAGACTAGAACATAACCTACGTGAAGGAATATTTACCATCCCTGCGGATAAAAGGCCGCACACGCAAGTTTCTCCGGGGTTAAAACCGACACCTATCTGTTGCATCAAAATCATGGCAGTGCGCTCGCAGCCGTCTAGTCGACATGGAGTTACTGGTAAGTGTTTTGACAAATGCATATGATGCCGTAGCAGACGTACAGCGTCGGCGAGTGGTTACCTGCGGCGCTCTTCCGCTTTGATCCGCCATCCCATATATATGTTATAAGACGCGACTGTATGTTATTATGATCCAAAAACCTCTGAACTCCACACATGAATTCCACTCGTCCTCCTGTACTGGTCGTAAGTGAGCTCGTATGATGGTAGCTTGCGCCTCAGCCTAATCACTCTTTCTTAGGTAGGTGCTGGGCCAGCAGGTCTGGTGGCAGCGTTGACGCTCCTCCAAAACGGCATCCCCGTTCGTATCATCGAGAAAGACCCCAACCCTCGCATCGGACAGCGTGGTCCCGGAATCTGGGTTTGTTATGATACCACTTCTCTGATGCCCTGTAGTTTCATTTAATGCATGCTCTAGCCACGCTCCATCGAACTCTTCAACTTCCTAAGCGTCCCAGAAGTCAACGATCTGGCGAAACCCTTCCCTGTAATCCGTTCCTACAAGCCTGGAACATTGGAATGTGCGGCGGAATTCCCGATGGTCCCGCATATGGAATCTACTCCTGCGATACCATTCGTATGTACTATGCAAAACCATCTCTCAAGCAGTCATGCTGATGTTTTTTTTTTGTTTGTAGCATGCTGCAAAGCTTATGGGTCAACAACTCCTAGATGTGATTCTGCGACGCCACCTAGAGAAATTTTCGTGTTCCGTCGAGATGGGCACCGAACTGCGTTCGATCGAGCAGTCTGACGATGGTGTCACGGCTGTTCTAGCAAAGAACGGCATATTAGAGACTTTCGATACTAAGTGGGTGATCGGTGCTGACGGCGCTAAAGGTGAGATGCGATCAAATTTAAATGCGGTAGGCTGAATCTGAGTTGTGGTTTGCAGGTGTCGTGCGCAAACAGCTCGGGCTCACATTCTTGGGCGAGACTAGAGACGATTTCCGAATGGTCATGGGAGACATTCGTTTAAAGGGCGTTGGTCTTGATAGAGCGGTGCGTCCAATTTCTACTTACTCCATGAAGGAGCGCTCCTGATACTGTCTTGGAAGTATTGGCACCGATTTGGAAACTTTAAACGAGGGTATATCTAGTCTCTGCTCTCGAGGCTTGGAGATGTGTATACTGACGCTGTGCAGCATCTCACTGCGTCCAACGGACGAAATTGGCGAGGACGGCTGGCAATTTATCATCCTTGGTAATGATCTAGACCTGACAAAGGTCGCTCAGAGCGAGGAGCTGATCTTCGAGATCATCGCATCGGTGATACCCACGGATATTACATTCAACAAGCTCGTCTGGGTGAGCGAGTACAGGTGTGTTTTATTTTGTTACATTTACGTTTTCAATGTTCATCGGTTTACTTAGGGCCAATATCCGGATGGTAAACAAGTTGAGCGAGGGCCGAGGATTCGTTGTGGGTGGTGTGTGGTTCTACTTATGAACGATGTACCTGCGCTGATGGAAGTCTGCATAGATGCTGCTCAGTATGTGTATCTTTGAGTGCTTTCTTACCAAACTGATTCTGACATATATCCAGTGTCCACAGTCCAACCGGTGGTCAGGTGCGCGCGCTCTGATCAAATCCCGATACCTACTTATCTTTGTATGAACAGGGACTCAACTCAAGCGTACAAGATGCTGTAAGTCTTGCAAATGCACCATGTATGACACTACTGACCGTACACTAGTTCAATCTAGGCTGGAAGCTTGCGCTCGTCGAAAAAGGACTCGCCGACAAATCTCTTCTTGAGACGTATAATACCGAGCGTTTGCCTGTCATCTCCGAGATGCTTGAGATGACCACCGCGATTCTCAACCAGACATTAGAAACAGACAACGCGCCCGTGACACGAAGCCCCATTCTTTTCATGCTCGGTATCAACTGCCGATTCAGCAACATCGTTCTCGACGAGTTTGCGGTTCCAGGGAAGCCTATCAATGCATACGGGGTGCTTGACGAGGAGGCATCTGGAGGCTGGGGACAGGGCGCCTGATGCGCCAAATATGGTCCAGGTGGGAGGTGGAGAATCTGGCGTGAAGACGCTCTTTGGTCTTTACAGACCATGGTATCACACTGTGCTTGTGTTCGCTCCGAGTCATGCAGATGCTACCCCTGATCTTGGAGTGCGCTGCAGGCATATGACACAAGCGTCATACGATCAGCAGTCATTCTGTCTTCATCCGCATCAGTGACGTCTGTTGCATCCTCCGCCGATCTTGTTCTTGTCGATCAGGAGAATCATGCTTATTCAGCTTACCTCGTGGAAGCTGGCCAGACGAAGGTGTTTGTGGTACGGCCGGACGGAGTGGTTGGGGCAATCGTACATGGTGCAGAAGGCGTAAAGAAGTATTTCTCGGGAATATTTTTGAATGTCTAGTGGTCTGTTCTTTTTACTTGTATTCTTATATCACAACTCATTCGTATTTTACAATCAACGTAGTTATCAAATGGTGTAGAGGTCAAGGCGGTACTTATTGGGGAGCGCGCCTCAAATCTGGACCAACGCAGTCGAATGTTCTTCGGTACTGTCCGCTATCAGTGAATTTGTTTTTCCTTAGTCTCCCCGGGCCGTAGGCACCCCAATCTGTGGTGTTGAAGGTAAGTACTTGCGTTCCATTAGTAGGATGCCATCGTTCTCATTCAATCCCTGAGCTTGATTTCCGTCGTGTTCCGAGGGAGCAGTCACCAGTTTCTAATCAACGGATACACCTGTTTGCTCAATGTTTGGAATCGGGCTGCCGAGATTGGGAGCGTCTTGTGATGGTATATGCTCTGATGTGGAGCCCCGACCGAGTGTGAAGGTCAGTTTCTTGCTTGTCGAATCTCCATTAGGCCCGTCCTCTAGCAATGACTGTGACATCAGAATAGTAAATTGACGAGGCGGTGGCCATCCCTAGTCACAGTGACTCCGGTATCCAAGTACCTGTGATACTCTATGTTCAGTTGCGTCAACGGGCACTTATTAGGATTCGACGAGCATAGCCTACCCGAGAGAATCAAGAGTATAATTAGGAGAAGCCCCACAAGGTACGTGCAAGTGACTTCACAAAGTTAGAATAAATATTAATATCATACTCAAACTTCGCATATGTCAGTTAATCAAGTGACGACTCGGCTTCAAAGCTCTGGTGAGCATTTTGACAAATCATCCCATGGGGACGTGTGATGTCGGCGAATTGTTTTTATAAGGGCACTGATATAGGATACACAGGTGGACAACGCATGCCACCTTTCCTCTGTGATTCTGATCCAAAAAACTACTCATGAATTCCACTCCTCCCGTGCTAGTCGTAAGTACCAGGTTGTGATAGAAGATTGTGCTTAAGCTCAATTCCTCATTCTTAGGTAGGCGCTGGGCCAGCAGGTCTGGTAGCAGCGTTGACGCTCCTCCAGAATGGCACCCCAGTTCGCATCATTGATAAAGACCCCAATCCTCGTATCGGACAGCGCGGTTCCGCAATCTGGGTTTGTCATGACACCACTTTCTCTGATACCCTGGTCTCATTTAATGCATGATTTAGGCACGCTCCCTTGAACTCTTCAACTTCCTGGATGTTCCAGAAGTCAACGACTTGGGGAAACCCGTTCCTGTGATCCGTTCGTACCGGTCAGGGACGTTGGAACTTATGACGGAGTATTCAATAGTCCCGCATATGGAACCGACCCCCGCGATACCATTCGTACGTACTACGAGGAGCCGTCGTATTCTCAGACATGCTGACAATATGGTTATTCTATTTTCTACTAGTACGTTTCTAAAATGATAGGTCAACAACTCCAAGATGTGATTTTACGAAGCCACCTAGAAAAATTCTTGTGCTTTGTCGAGATGGGCACTGAACTGCGTTCGGTCGAGCAGTCCAACGAAGGTGTCACCGCTGTTCTAGCAAAGAACGGCATATTGGAGACTTTCAACACTAAGTGGGTGATCGGCGCTGATGGTGCTAAAGGTGAGTTGCGATCCAATTCAAGTGCAGCACCATGAGTCTCAATTCCGTTTCCAGGCATCGTGCGCAAACAACTCGGTCTCACGTTTTTGGGCGAAACGAGAGATGATGCCCGAATTGTCGTCGGAGACATTCGTTTAAATTGCGTTGGTCTTGATAGATTGGTGTGTTCGAATTCTGCTTACCCGTGGAAGAGCGCTTCTGATTGTTTTTGAAAGCATTGGCACCAATTTGGACACTTTAAAACACGAGGGTATGTTTAGCCTCTGCTCTTGAGGCTTGTATGTTGATGATGTGCAGCCTCTCATTACGTCCAACTGACGAAATTGGCGAGGATGGCTGGCAATTCTTCATCTTTGGTGGTGATGTAGACTTGACAAAGGCCGCTCAGAGCGAGGAGCTGGTCTTCGAAATCATCGCATCGTTGATACCTACGGAGATTACGTTCACCAAGGTCGTCTGGATGAGCGAGTTCAAGTGTGTTTTTGTATATTGTGTACATGGATGTATTTTTAACGTTCATTGCTTTGCTTTAGAGCCAATATTCGTATGGTAAACAAGTTGAGCGAGGGTCGAGTTTTTGTTGTGGGTGGTATGTGGTTCTACTTTTGAATGATGTACCTGTGCTGATGAAAACCTTCATAGATGCTGCTCAGTACGCTCGCGTTCGAGTACTTTCTGAGTACACTTTTGCTGACATATGTCCAGTGTCCACAGTCCAACCGGTGGTCAAGTCTGTGCCGCTCTCATCCAATGCCAATCCCTACTTATCTCTCTATGAACAGGGACTGAACTCCAGTGTACAAGATGCCGTAAGTCTTACAAATGCACCATGTATGACACTACTGACTGTCCACCAGTTCAATCTATGTTGGAAGCTTGCGCTCGTCGAAAAAGGACTCGCCAACAAGTCTCTTCTTGAGACGTATACTGCCGAGCGTCTGCCTGTCATCTCCGAGATGCTTGAGCTGACCACCACGATTCTGAACCAGGTAGTAAAGGCAGGAGACATGACCATTCCACGAAATCCTATCACTTTCATGCTCGGTGTCAACTGTCGATTCAGCAACATCGTTCTCGATGAGTTTGCAATTCCAGGGAAGCCTATCAATGCGTACGGGGTGCTTGACGAGGGGAATCTGGAGGCTGGGGACAGGGCGCCTGATGCACCAAATATGTTGCAGGTGGGAGGTGGGAAGTCTGGCATGAAGACGCTTTTTGGCCTTTACAGGCCTTGGTATCACACTGTGCTTGTGTTCGCTTCGAATCACGCAGATGCTACCCCGATCTTGGGTGCGCTGGAAGCATACGACACAAGTGTTGTGCGATCAGCAGTCGTTCTGCCTTCATCCATATCAGCGACGTCTATTGCACCCCCTGCTGATCTCGTTCTTGTCGATCAGGAGGGCCATGCTTATTCAGCTTACCTCGTGGAAGCTGGCCAGACGAAGGTTTTTGTGATACGGCCGGACGGAGTGATTGGGGCGATTGTTCATGGTGTAGAAGGCGTAAAGAAGTATTTCTCCAAAATATTTGTGGATGCATAGCGGCCCGAATTTTCGTGCTTTACTTACGACTTTTACAAGTACCTGTAAATCTCATTGAACGTAGTGTATATCATGTTTGTAACTGAAAATAAAAGCAATACGACATAGAACTATGTACCAAGATGTACGCGCAATCGGCGCGGGCCCATGGTTCTACATACGACGACGTGGAATTTTATGCATCGTTTCGTCCCCATCAGCATGTTGAGACCAATCAAGAATCATATTTGGGGAATCGATCAGGCACTTGGCATATGGGAATGAGGGTCAGGACATTAGGTGAAAGAAATGGTGTGATAGCTACGGGGAGTATTTATTCCATGAGAGATAGCATTCCAAAACACCTGGGGTGACAGCTGTTGAACAGTTGAACACATAGCTTAGGCTGTGATAAGAACTCATAGAGGTTAATAATATCAATGTCCACCAGTTGTATAGTGCATGATTCCAATGACGATGGATTTGGCAGGAGATTGACGAACGAGAAACCTGGACCTAGAGTTGGCGAAGCTGAAAACTGAAATGAACCATGAGCAGAGCTATGGAGGGAGGGTTGTCGGCATGTGTGAAATCATGGTACGAATGTTGGATAAAACGCGCATATGAAAGCGGAACTCCCAATGAGACTCGAGAGGAGAGAATTTTGGGTGCATCCGGTGCACACACAGCTCTTTGGGTGAAGAGGTGATCTATACACCTACATTCAGATAAGGTGGAGTGGCTGGTAGACACCGTATTCATATAGTCATTCAGGATAGTTAACGGTAGGAGCGCCTGAATGTAGAAACTGCATTGTCGCAACCGAATGCAAGATATATTCTAGAAGGTATGGAGATGACAGTTGGATATATGTACGCGGCGCAGAGACGCTGGGAAGGTACATTGTCGAGGAAGGCGGTCATGACTCGTAGGGAGCAGAATTCTTGCTGGAACGGTGGTGAACTGCCTCGTGTCTTGGGCGTCAAATGGAAACGAGGTAGGTTAGCGTGGCGAAGGAGCATAAAAACGCACAATACACGCACCTCGGCAGCTTAGAGAAAGACACTCACAAATGGGCCAGTTTCTCTCGACCGAGCTCGACACATCAACGTCAACGTTAATAACCCCCATTACTCCAAGCACCAGACCCCTGCGAGTTCTTGAAGGGAGCGCAACCACAGTCAAAGTATTACCCGATAAACGACGAATAGTGACAGCCTCACATGACAAGAAGACGCTTCATCTTTGGGACTTGAAGAAGGGGGTTGTGTTGAAGGGGATGGAGGGGCATAGCAATAAGGTGGAGGTATTGGCGGTATCACGAGATGGTCAAATAATCGCAAGCGGTGATGAAAATGGAGAAATAATCGCCTGGCACGGTGAAACTGGAGAACCTCTCACCCAACCCATCAAAGCCCACTCTAATCGAATCAGCTCATTAGATTTTTCTCCCGATGGTACGGTGCTGGCCACTGGTTCATGGGACACAATGACGAAGTTTTGGCGTACCGAAACGTGGCAGATGCAAGGAGATCCAATCCAGTGTCATGCTACGATCCACTGCGTTCGATATTCGCCGCGGGCTATAAGTGACGACTTATTTAGACGATCGCATGCACCTCTTGAGCCACCTCTTGAGCCACCTCCACCTCAACATAAAGTTGCCATCGCAACATCCACAAATATCGAAATTTATAATACAGGCACGAGGGAACGCGTCAAATCTTTTGAGGCTCACAGCTCGTCACTCGCCTGGGTGTCTGACAGACGCCTTCTTTCAGGAGGCGATCACGCCATTGCTATTAATCCCACTGGCACCCTCGTCGCATCCACGTCTGATGACAACCATGTCCGTCTCTGGCGGCTCTCGGATCGACAAACCATCGCCATCTTCCAGCATTCATCCATCCCCACATGCGTCACATTCTCTGTGGACGGCAAACACATCCTCATCGGAGGACAAGATAAGATTTCAGAGTGGGCAGTACCCAAGTTTATCCATCCAAAGGTAAGTTTCCATTCTTGACTCTCATAACACAATTTGAGCATCCTTCATGCAGATCCTGGCTATTTCGACAGCCCGCGATGCATGTGTAACTGGGGACCTGTCTACCGCTGAAACGTTAATCACTCAAGACATCCACACCGACGCCAACGACTATACTTCATATGCCAATCGTTCATTTATTATGGCCCGAAAACACGCCTGGGACCGCGCCCTTGAGGATGCAATCAAGGTGAGTTATACCGACTCATCATGGCCTCTTTATGAAAAGCCTGACTTTCATTCATGACATAGTCCATCAGCATTCAGCCCTCATTGACAGGCTACATCTCTAAGGGCATCGCCCTCTGTGGAAAAGGCCACATCCGGGAGGCAAGGACAGCATTCCACGTCGCATCCATGTTCACCAACCAAGATTCAGCCACCAACCATTTTCTTCTCTTGACAGAGGTAGGTCAAATTTGTTTCGCATGCTCTCTGCTTCATTCCGCATTACAGGCCATTGCCCTCTTCAACGCAGATCAACATGATGAAGCAATGCTGCTCATCAAAGAGTTGGCTGCCGCTTGTCCGAATGCCGATGCTCTCGGGTGTTGTGTCGTGGAAGTAAGTATCACGCGGCCACGCTCTGTCAGCAAACCTAATCTTTGCCACTCGCACATTAGGCATATCTTCGTATTCAACTCGGAACCAAAGCCTTGGGTGACGCGCGTTACAACGAAGCCGTTGACCACTTCACCACCACTGTCAACGCAGGCGCTTTCTCATCGCAAGACACTCATTTGATATACGAAGACTTGACTGCGGTGTGTCTAGATGATGTATACATAACACATTTCATGACTGAGTGCTTGGTCCAGCTCTTCGGCTGGGATCTCGGGCCCGTCCTGTTCAATGCAAATTATCTCAAATCCTTGTTGCTCACTACACATCAGAAACGGTGCCAGGTTTTTCTTTCGGCAGGTAAACCTGATGAAGCCCTTGAAGCATATCAAAACATAAAGGACGCCATTGGCGAAAATCCCACGGCCAACTGCCTTGAGTGGTCCAACGGCAAGTCCAGAATCTGTGGTGTCATGTAGACTACAACCCTCACCCATATTTCACTCAGCTCTTAAGCAAGAATGCAGCACGATCTGTGCTGTGAACGGAGATGCCGCCCTCACTGCTAGTGATTATGACAGGGCTATTGACCTATACTCGGCAGCAATCAACCTGAATTTTGCATCTGATGCTATCTTTGCAAATCGTAGTAAGGCAAAGTTGGGTAAGATGCTGTGGATGGAAGCACTTCTCGATGCGCAGAAGGTACAATCGTATATATCGTTTCGTAACCAGTGCTCATTGTGGCGATACATAGGTCATTGAACTCGACTCTTTATCTTATCTTGGATACAATTTGAAGCACGCAGCGCTTCATGGTGCAAGTCGCTATGATGAAGCGATCCAGACCTTCCAAACGATGTTCTCCAAACTGGATGATGCACCCGACGCTCAGACAAGAGGTAAGCCTCTGAATAACACATTCGCCAACAAGTTTAACTCTTTCTCCAGAGCTGTGCCAGCAGCATCTCAGACCCTCTGAAGTAGAAGCTGCTATTCGACAGGTCATTGATGTCAAACTCGACAATGCTCCGCTGCGTGTACTCGGCACCACCACCGGTCTCTTATGCGATAGAGAGGCGCAGATAAGCACCTTCAAAATGAGCATGGAGTACAAGGAGCTTGTGTCATCAACAATCACGCAGAAAGACCTTCCCGTGAAGCACATCGAAGAAGTGGTGATGACGTACCTCCAATATGCCATGCTATCACACAGGTGGGAAGGGGAGGAGCCACTGCTGCAGAATATCCAGGGAAAGAGCGTGTACGACTCGGAGTTAGATCTGGTTGGCGGGATGACGAAGTTACGGTCCTTCTGTAAAACTGCTCGTGACGCGGGGTATAACTGGGCATGGAGTGATACATGCTGCATCGATAAGAGCAACAATGTTGAACTCGAAGAATCGGCTAACTCCATGTTCGTCTGGTATCGCCACTCTGCACTCACGATTGTCTACCTGTCGGATGTCCTGGCTTCTTCAACGTCTGGCGCTTTGGCAAAGAGCGCTTGGAACACGCGCGGATGGACGATTCAAGAATTCGTCGCTCCCCAGGTCATTCTCTTTTATCAAAACAATTGGACTCTCTATCTTGACGACCGTACTCCAAACCACAAGGAGTCCGTCGCAATCATGCAGGAGTTACAGGACGCGACGGGCATAGACCGACTAGCCATTGCGGCCTTCTGTCCCAGTCTGAATGGCGCCCGAGAGAAACTCCATTGGGCGTCAACCCGCGTTACCACGCATCAGGAAGACATCGCATACTCGTTGTTTGGTATCTTTGGTGTCCGTTTGTCTGTTGATTATGGCGAGAAGCAGGAGAAGGCTCTCGGGCGGCTCCTGCAGGAGATCGTGGCTCGGTCGGGCGACATCACTAGCCTTGATTGGGTCGGAAAATCATCAGAGTTCAATAGCTGTCTACCAGCCTCCATCACTTCATACGAAGCTCCACCATGCAAGCTACCACTCCTACCCGAAGATGAAATTCGGTCATCAGTTTCTTCGCTGCGCAAGACGGTGGCTATGGATTTCGCTTCGAACCTTTATACCCTTCTTCAGAACATGAGCCCCCCTCGCTTCGCAGCACAGAGACTGCATCTGCCTTGTATTGCATTCAATGTCAGGGAAGTCAGACGGGTGCATAGTCCAGCCCCAGAAACTCTGTCCACGTATGGAGTAAAGGCAGACGGGCTACGCGACTTGCTTCTCACCACCGAAGAGACCCTGGTTCAGTTCTGGCCGGTAAGGCCCACTGAGCAGAACTTCGTCCTTGTCCTTCCCTGGGATCGTCTCTCCTCGCGCTACCTGACTTTGTGGAACCATCTGAATTTGTGGAGCCATCTGACTTTGGAATCGATTTGGAGGGCGAGGAGGAATATGTGACGCCGCCCTCTTCTCCGTCAGACGACTGGTCCAGTGGTTCTCCTGTACAACAGGAGGTGGTTGACATAGAATCACGAGCGTTGCGGTTGCTTGTTCGCCTTGGACAGCCTTTTAGCGCATTTTTGCTAGCGCAGCAGCGCAGTGGAGAATACAAGAGGATCGCGTCGGATCGCGATATCATTGGACAGGTCAATGACGTGGTTTCTGTTGGAGACTTGATGGACATCAGAACCATAGAAATATCGTAGTTGTATGTGTTTTGTTTCGAAGTTTATGGATCTGAGCGGTTTGTAATTTCTACCTTAAAGACGATACTCGTACAGTATATGTATCATATATGCATGTGTATCGGATTGTAATATAGGTGCTCGGGTACAAATTATGCTCCAAATCTTGTCACTTTCCTATCATTTTGTCCTCTGGCATTAGGACTGCAGCAAGTTGACGATGATCCGCAAATTGGCGTCACCACCTCTTTCGAGCGGTAAACATCGCATGCCGCTTTCATCTTTCGCCGTCCAAAGTCGTGCATTGGCACGAGGGGGTCGTAGATCAATAAACAACTACTATGATGGTGAATATGATATATCAGATTAGGATCCAAGGAACATCTTCGACGAGTTGGACACGGGATACGTATTCAGTCGTTAGGAATACGTCACGAAAGAAAATCTACCTCCGCAACAGACAGTCACATACTATCGTCTTCTTGGAACGTCTACTCTGTTGTGAATGACACGCAGTAAAGAAGGACAGGCATTCTGGGTGAGAGCTCTTCTGCTCTGTTACTGAGCCAGGTGTGGTCCACATACGTACGTAGTGGAGGATATTATGGTTGTATTCATGATATTTGTAACCTCTGTCCTGGGGTTGATGTGAGCGTCGTGATACAGGGAGTATGTAAATAGCGTTCCCAAACACCCGGGAGTGACAGTCGTTCAGTAATTGAGTACATAGCTTTGGCTGTGATGAGAGCTCACTCACTGAGGTCATGAACATCGACGACCATGTTGCACCACTAGTACATGATGCAAATGAGCGACGAGTGGAGGAATGCAAACAATGCTGTGAACACCTTTGGGAAAGATGATCGCAGAAGTGTTGGATAGAATTCGCCCGGAAAGACGGAGACTCCTCCGCCACAAAATTAGTAACGGGTTTGAGAGACGAGAAATTAGATCTATATACCTGCGTTCAAATAAGTTGCATGGTGATGTGCTGGAGTGACTGCTAGATTTGATGATATTTATGCGGCTATCCAGGGGTAAACAGCGTTCGAGCGCCTCGATATAGAAACTGCACTATCGCAGCGGAATGCAAGGGGATATATTCTGGAAGCTTAGGGAGCATGCTTGCTGCAACGGTGATAGCGAACTGCCTGGTGTCTTAATTGTCTGTGGAAACGAGGTGGGTTAGTGTGGTGAAATAGCATAAAAGCGCACAATGCACGCATCTGTAAGGTTGATAATGAGTTCGACGGATCATGAGTGGTTTTGAATTCACTAAACATAGGGAAAGTAAGGACATGCTTTTTGAGTGGCTCATCAAAGCGGTACAAAGGGAATTCTATAGTCAGCGAAGTGGCATTCCTTACACACCTCTGCAGCTTAAAGAAAGACACTCCCGATCCCTCAACACCATCAGCCCCCAGTAAATGTCACAATTCATTCGAAGCACCACACCCCTTCGAGTTTTTGAAGATCATGAGGGGGACGTAAATGCAGTCGCAGTTTTTCCTGATAAGCGACGAATGGTTACAGCCTCGAAGGACAAGACGCTTCGTCTGTGGGACTTGAAGACAGGTGTTGTGTTGAAGAAGATGGAGGGGCATTGCAATGAGGTGCAGGCATTGGCGGTTTCACGAGATGGTCAAATAATTGCAAGCGGTGATGAAAATGGAGAAATCATCGCCTGGCACGGTGAAACTGGAGAATCTCTTACCCAACCCATCAGAGCCCACACCAGAGTTATCAGCTCATTGGACTTTTCGCTAGATGGTACGGTGTTGGCCGCTGGTGGATGGAACTGGACGACACAACTTTGGTGCACTAAAACGTGGCAGATGCAAGGAGAACCAATCGAGTGTGGTTATGTCCACTGCGTTCGATATTCGCCCTCTGGTGAACTTCTTGCCATCGCAACCAACCAAGATATCCAAATTTATAATCCAGGCACAAGGGAACGCGTCACGTCTCTCAAGGGTCACAGGCACAGAACAACCAACTCGTCACTCGCGTGGACGCCTGATGGGACACGCCTTCTTTCAGGAGGCAATGATAAAGATCCTACCATACGAGTGTGGGATCCATTGACCTCGGAGCAGGTCGGTAGTTCCTGGAAAGGCCATATTGGCAGTGTCAAACGCCATTGCTATTCACCCCGCTGGCACCCTCGTTGCTTCTGTATCTGATGTCGATGTATTTCTCTGGCGGCTCTCAGATCGAAAGTCATCGCCGTCTTCCAGCACTCATTCGACCTGACATGTGTAACGTTCTCTGTGGACGGTAAGCACATCATCAGCGGAGGTGATGATAATATGATCTCAGAGTGGGCAGTACCAAAGCACATCAATTCAAAGGCAAGTTTCTGTTCTTCGCTCATGTATCACAATTCAAACATCCTCCATGCAGATCCTTGTTATCACAACAGCCCGCCAAGCATGCATAACTGGGGACTTGTCTACCGCTGAAGAGTTACTCACCCAAATGATCAACGACAACGCCAACGATGATACTTCATATGCGCATCGCTCATTCGTCATGGCCCGAAAACGTGACTGGGACCACGCTCTTGAGGATTCAATCAAGGTGAGTTATACCGACTCATCACGGCCCCCTTACGAAAAGGTTTACCATGACATAGTCCATCAGCATTCGGCCGTCATTGACAGGCTACATCTCCAAGGGCATCGCCCTATACGGAAAAAGTCACGTCCAGAAGGCAAGAACCGCGTTCGACGTCGCATCCGTGTTCACAGACCGACATTCACCCACCAAGTGTTTTCTTCTCTTGATCAAGGTAGGTCGAATTCATCTCGCATGCTCTCTGCTTCATTCTTTCAGGCCATCGCACTCTTCAATGCAGATCAACACGAGGAAGCAATGCTGCTCATCGAAGAGCTGGCTGCCGCTCGTCCGAATGTCGATCCTCTCGCGCATCGTGTCGTGGAAGTGAGTATCATGCGGCTATGCTCTGTCATCAAACCTGATCTTTGTCGCTCGCACGTTAGACATATCTACGCGTTCAACTCGGAATAAATGCCTTGGATTGTGCGCGTCACGACGAAGCCGTTAACCACTTCACTACCGCTGTCAACTCCAGCGCTTTCGGATCGAAAACCATTCATGAAACATACGAGGAATTGACCATGGTGTGCCAAGATGATGTATACATAAATATTTTCGTAACCGAATGCTTTGCCTAGCTCTTCGGTTGGGATCTCGAATCCTTGTGTTTCACTACACACCAGAAACGGTGCCAGGCATTCCTTTTGGCAGGTAAACCCGATGAAGCCCTCGAAGCACACAAATACATGATGGAAGCTCTTGACGAAACTGCGAAGGCCAGCTGTCTTGATTGGTCCAACGGCAAGTGGTCATTGACGTCACCCAAAGTTATCATACTAACCCGCATTTCACTCAGAATTCAAGGAACGATGTAGCGCGCTTGCAGCGCACGATGACCGTATTCTTGGTGTATGTACCTCCTTCCTCACCTCTTTCTCTACTGACCGTTATGCAGGCGGAGATCCCCGGGCAAGGTCAGGATAGCTATGATGCAGAACCCAATTTCTTCCAGGGAATGCAAGAGGTGTGTTCAACTGCGTATCCTTCTTTTCTCTCTCACATCGTTCATTATAGTATTCTAGGCCACGACCTCAACAGCGCCCTGGACGCCTCAAGAGAATCAAGCTTGCTTTGATGAAGAGCCCTCGTCCTGCACCTGCACCTGCACCGCCCACCACCCCACCAGTCGCCGTCGCTACTACCTTCAAAACTCATCTACGACACCTATTCACTCGGCCACCCCATGATACAATACCACCCGTCGTTGACGTTCCTTTTGCCCAGGGTCTACAGGTGTGATCGGTTGGTTTTTATAATTTGTGCCTTGGTTGTCTGACGCGTAAATTTACAGCGTTATGCTGCAGCGGGTGCTCCTAGGAGTGATGACTCCTTGATACGTGATGAAGACTATCATGGACCTCCTTCACCGGACCCTAATACGCAACAGCAACAGCAACCAATATCAGTGCAGGTAGACCTCGGAGAACATGGAGGTGGCCGGTCATGCTGCTAGAGGGATAGGTGGACGTCCCTTGGGTATCTCAGTTCCATAGTTGATCTTGTTACATTCGACTTGAAGCAGTACTGATTTTATCGAGAGGGTAATGACTATTGCTCTGTAGATCATTCTCGTCCCTGTATCTACGGCTAATTGCAATCATAAGAATGGAGATGGGAAGATAATCGGCGAACGAGACAAACCGAAACCAAATGGGCCGGGAGTTGACTGAAAAACTGAGATGAGCGAGGAGTCAAGCGCTGCAAGCAAGCCTGACACCTTTGAAATTCAGGATTTGGATAGAACATGTCTTGAAAAACAGAAAATCCTGCAATAGGAAGAGGTTTCAGATGCAATAAGAGAGAAATTTGGTTGCATCTGGTGCACATGCAGAACTTGGGTATTGACGAAATGAGATGAGACTGCAGTAAGCTATGTGCACTCGGAGATGAAGTGTTGGAGAAATTGCTCGACACGAGCCTGAGGAACAATTACATTCGTGTGGCAACGTAGGATAGATGGTGTTTCGCCAAATTCGAAGGCTGGGAAGTAGCAAATGCACTATTGCCATCGGATGGGAGGTGATATATTCAGGAAGCCGTGGAGTCGGACGCATGTACAGAGTTCGAAGGCCGGGAAGTAGAGACTGCACTATCGCCATCGGAAGGGAGGTGATATATTCTGGAAGCTGTGGAGTCGGACGCATAGTAGGGATTAATTTTGCCGTAACGGTGGCTGGAGTGCAGAGGCGAACTACCTTGTGTCTTGGGTGTCTATGGAAACAAGGTAGGTTAGCGTGGCGAAGCAGCATAAAAACGCACAACGCACGCACTTCCGCAGATTAAAGACACTCTCAATCCCTTGACCGTGCTCAACATCATCAACCCCCAGCAAAATGTCGCAGCTCATTCCAAGCACCACAACCCTTCGAACTTTTAAAGGTCATCAGAACGGCGTAACCGCAGTCGCAGTTTTCTCCGATAAGCGACGGATGGTTACAGCCTCATATGACAGGACACTTCGTCTTTGGGACTTGAAGACAGGCGCTGTGTTGAAGAAGATGGAGGGGCATAGCAGTGACGTCTTTGCATTGACGGTATCACGAGATGGTCAAATGATAGCAAGCGGTGATTCAATCGGAGAGGTCATCGCCTGGCATGGTGAAACTGGTCAATCTCTCACCCAACCAATCAAAACCAACTGCGGTTGGATCTACTCAGCGGATTTTACTCCGGATGGTACGGTTCTGGTCATTGGTGGAACTAGCATTGCGGTGAAGTTTTGGTGTACCAAAACGTGGCAGTTGCAAGGAGAACCAATCGAGTGTGGTGCTATTGTCTTCTGCGTTCGATATTCGCCTTCTGGTGAACTTCTTGCCATCGCAACAACACAGAATATCCAAATTTATAATCCAGGCACAAGGGAACGCATCGCATCTTTTGGACGCTTTAGCAAGTCACTCGTGTGGACGCCCGATGGCACACGCCTTCTTTCAGGAAGCGATAAATACGACCCTACCATACGAGAGTTGGATCCATTGACCTGGCAGCGGGTCGGTCATCCCTGGAAAGGCCACACTGATGTTATCAACGCCATTGCTATACACCCTGCTGGCATCCTTGTCGCGTCCACAGCTGATGACAACCATGTCCGTCTCTGGCGGTTCTCAGACCAACGAACCATCGCCATCTTCCAGCTCTCATACAGGGCGACGTGTGTCACGTTCTCTGTGGACGGCGAGCACGTCCGCGCGTCACGACCAAGCCGCCATTCACTTTACTGCCGCTGTCAACGCCAGCGCTTTCTCATCAAATTTCATGCCTCAACTATACGAGGATTTGACCGTGGTCCGTCAAGATCATGCATGCACAATGCTTTTCATAACTTATTGCTTTGTCCAGCTCTTCGGCTGGGATCTCCAGTCCTTGTGTTTCACTGCACACCAGAAACGGTGCCAGGCATTCCTGTCGGCAGGTAAACCCGATGAAGCCCTCGAAGCACACAAATACATGATGGATGCCATTGACGAAACTGCGAAGGCCAGCTGCGTCGATTGGTCCAACGGCAAGTTTTCAATAATGTCAGCCGAGGTTATCATACTCACCCGCATTTCACTCAGAATTCAAGGAGCGATGTAGCACGCTCGCTGCGCACGACGACCGTATTCTTGGTGTATGCACTTCCTTATTCAACTCTTTCGCTGCTGACCGTTATGCAGGCGGAGATCCCTGGGCAAGATCAAGATCGCTATGATGTAGAACCTAATTTCTTCCGGGGAATGCAAGAGGTGTGTTCAACTGGGTGTCTTTCTTTTCTCTCTCACATCGTTCATTACAGTATTCTCATATTTCCCGGCCACGACCTCAACAGCGCCCTGGACACCTGAAGAGAGTCGGGCTCGCTTTGACGAGGAGCCCTCGTCCTCCACCTGCACCGCCCACCACCCCGCCACCAGTCGCCATCGCTGCTACCTCTAAAACTCGCCTACGACACCTATTCACCCGGCCACCCCATCATACAACGCATCCCATCATCGAAGTTCCTTTCGCAAAGGGTAAAGAGGTGCGCCCGGTCGATTTTACCACTGCGTCCTGTGTGTCTGATGGGTAATGTACAGCGTAATGCTGCCGCGGATGCTCCTGGCAAAGACCCGGACATCGTACCTTATGAATATCAAGATCTCGATACTACTCAACCCGACCCTAATACACGACAGCAACAGCAAGCAGTAACAGTACATATAGACCCTGGCGAACATGGAGGCGGGAAGTCGTGTGTCTGCTGCTAGCGGGTTTTGTGGGTGTCCCTCGGATATTTCGGTTCTACTATCGCTCGTATCGTAACATTGTCATTGTATCTACAGCTAATTATGAACCACACGTCTTTCATAAGTAAAGTTGCTCGTGCCAATCACGGAAGTCACGTTTGAGTTTTGAATCTTCATCGTGCTCACGAGAACTTGAGAAGGATTCGATACATCAGTATATCACCCTAGAAGCTTGAGGGCAGTGGGCCGGTACAGGGCTCTGCAGCTAACAAGTTTTCTAACCGTATGTAGTGTCCACCATAGGGCCCCGCCCCAGAGGACAATAAACAAGGATCCAAAGAAGAAAAAAAACCAAGTTTTCTAAATAACTCACTTGTAATTGTAGATCATGAGATCGAACATGACACAAGAGACACGAATGAAAGATACACGACCAATGAAGACGTAAATGTAGATGGATGCGAAGTAGACCGCTCACCGAAAGGATCGTCACCGTGATTGAATGGCTCATTCCAGGATATTTCAGGTGATATATGCGATGATCTACGAACCGGAGATCATCGATCAGTTCTCAAATCATGTCTGCAAGCCTCAGTGGATTGCCTTGCAGTGTCACAGTATCACCTCACGCTACAGATCTCTCGGATGAAAGTACCCCGATAGCTGATTCCCAGGGCCCCATCCCGCCAAGTCTGATGGACACACAATTAAATACCTGGAGGTATGCGGACTAGGAAGGAACCTTTTTTAAAGACTCTTTCCGCTGATGACTGTAGATTAGAGCGTGTAGATCGTGAAGCGAATACCAAGGTGGTATGATGGAGTGACCCATCTTCAAGTCTGATAGAACTGGCCTTCTGACAGCATCACTCCTGCGTCGTCCGCGATTGAGGAGATTGGAATCGATGTTGTCATCATTTGGGACTATGGGTGGCACGGGCATCAAGATCTAAGATACATCACCGTGACAGACATGCTTTCCTGAACTCCTGCCCAGCTTTGGCTGTAGTGGGAGCTTATAATGTTGGTAGAGTGTGATGACCATATTGCAGGTGCAGGATTGCAACAAGAATGGACATGGGAAGGTAATTGGTGAACGAGAAAAACTGAAACCAAATGGGCCGGGAGTTGGCTGAGGAATTGAGATGGGCGATGAACAAAGCGCTGCTGTGAAATGTTTGAAAACCATCATTTGGACAAAACTCGTATTGAAAGACGGAAACTCCTCCATTAGGAGCGGATGTGAGACGCAAGAAGAGAGAAATTTAATTGCATCCGGTGCACACGCAGATCTTGGGGATCAACGAGATAAGGAGATGACATTCGCAGTAAGCTATGTGCACTCGGACAAGTTACATGGATGGTAAAGTGTTGGAGAAACTGCTCGACACAAGAAATGCGGCAATCTAAGATAGATAGCTGAGCTTTCAGCCGAATTCGAGGGCCGGGAAGTAGCAACTGCACTATCGCCATTGGATGGGAGGGAATATATTCTGGAAGCTGTGGAGACATGAGTCAGATGCATGTACACAGTACAGTCAAGGAAGGCAGATAATAGGGTGCATTCTTGCTGCGACGGTGATGGGAACCGCCTCGTGTCTTGGGCGTCTGTGGAAACGAGGTATGTTAGCATGGTAAAGCAGCATAAAAACGCACAACACACACACCTATGCAGCTTAGAGAAAGACATCCACAACCCTCGACCGTGCTCAACACCATCAATCTCTAGTAAAATGTTACAGCTCATTCCAAGCACCACACCCCTTCGAGTTTTTGAAGGGGGCACAAACTTGGACGCAGCTGCATTTTCCCCCAACAAGCGACGAATGATTACAACCTTGAAGGACAAGACACTTCGTCTGTGGGACTTGAAGACAGGTGTTGTGTTGAAGAAGATGGAGGGGCATCACAATGAGGTGCATGCATTGGCGGTATCACGAGATGGTCAAATAATAGCAAGCGGTGATGAAAACGGAGAGGTCATCGCCTGGCACGGTGAAACTAGCGAAACTCTCACCCAACCCATCAAAGCCCACTCCGATCGAATCCTCTCGGTGGATTTTTCGCCGGATGGTACAGTGCTGGCTACTAGTTCATGGGACTCGACGACGAAGTTTTGGTGTACTAAAACGTGGCAGTTGCAAGGAGAACCAATATCAATCGAGCATGGTTTTACTCTGATCTTCTGCATTCGATATTCGCCTTCTGGTGAACTTCTTGCCATCGCAACCGACAAATTATATCGAAATTTATAATCCAGGGACGAGGGAACGCGTCGCAAAGTTCAAGGGTCACAGAACATGGAACTTCTCACTCGCGTGGACGCCCGATGGCACACGCCTTCTTTCAGGAGGCGATGATAAAGATCCTACCATACGAGTGTGGGATCCATTGACCTGGCAGCAGGTCGGTCATCCCTGCGAAGGCCATACAAAGACATATCTTCGCCATTGCCATTCATCCCGCTGGCACCCTCGTCGCTTCCGCGTCTTGGGACAATGATCTCCGTCTTTGGCGGCTCTCAGATCGACAAACCATCGCCATCTTCCAGCATTCGCTCATCCTGACATATGCATATGTCACGTTCTCCATGGATGGCAAGCAAATCTTCAGCGCAGATAGGAAGATCTTAGAGTGGGCAGTACCCAAGGGTTTTCATCCAAAGGTAAGTTTCCATTCTTGACTCATTCACCACAATCAGAGCATCCTCCGTGCAGATCCTTGCTATCACGACAGCCCGCGATGCATGTCTAACAGGGGACCTGTCTACCGCTGAAGAGTTGCTCACCCAAGACATCCGACACTGACGCCAACGACTATACTTCATATGCTCATCGCTCATTCGTCATGGCTCGAAGACACGACTGGGACCATGCACTTGAGGATGCAATCAAGGTGAGTTATACTGGGCCATCATGGCTCCATTATGAGTAGTAGGCTAACTTTCATCCGTGTCATAGTCTATCAGCATTCGGCCCTCATTAACAGGCTACATCTCCAAAGGCATTACCCTCTGTGGAAAGGGCCTTGTCCGGGAGGCAAGGATAGCATTCGACGTCGCATCCATGTTCACGAATCAGGATTCAGAAGTCAACCATTTTCTGCTCTTGATCAAGGTAGGTCAGATTTGTCTCCCATGACCTGTGCTTCATTCCATATTTCAGGCCATTGCACTCTTCAACGCAGATCAACACGAGGAAGCAATGCTGCTCATCAAAGAGCTGGCTGCCGCTCGTCCGAATGCCGATCTTCTCGGGTGTCGTGTCGTGGAAGTAAGTATCATGCAGCTACGCTCCATCATCGATGCTGATCTTTGCAACTCGCACATTAGACATATCTACGCGTTCAGCTCGCATTGGATGGCGCGCGCCACGACGAAACCGCCGATCCCTTCACTGCTGCTGTCAACACCAGCGCGCTCTCATCGAATTTCATTCATCAAAAATACGAAGACTTGACTGTGGTGTGTCAAGATGATGTATACAAATGCTTTTCATAACCTGGTGCTTTGTCCAGCTCTTCGGCTGGGATCTTCCGGTCCTTGTGTCTCACTGCGCACCAGAAACGGTGCCAGGCATTCCTGTCGGCAGGTAAACCTGATGAAGCACTTGGAGCATACCAATACATGATGGACACCATCGACGAATCTATGAAGGCCAGCTGCCTTGTTTGGTCCGACGGCAAGTTTGGAGTCCGTGATGTCATGTAGACTACAATCCTCACCCATGTTTCACTCAGATTTCAAGGAAGAATGCAGCGCGCTCTGTGCTGCCAACGGGGATGTTGCCCTCACCGCGAGCGATTATGACAGGGCTATTGACCTATACTCGGCGGTGATCAACCTGAATTCTGCATCTGACGCCGTCTTTGCAAATCGTAGTAAGGCAAATTTGGGCAAAATGCTATGGATGGAAGCACTTCTCGATGCGCAGAAGGTGCGATGGCATCTATCGTTTCATAGCCAATGCTCATTGTGGTGATACATAGGTTATTGAACTCGACTCTTTGTCTTATCTTGGATAC